GTTTTGTGACTCCAATCATCAAACTAAAGAACCAACATAATATTTTATTTAATTAATATCTACAGTAAAATATGTATGAAATAAGAGAAAAGTGAATGAAAAATGTAGGGTATATCTCAGCTACTGTGTATAAATTCTTTGGCCATTAATTCTGGGATCATGAATTAGAACAATGCAAGGAAATGGTCTTTTATCTCTGCTGGGAAGCAAAATTCACTGCAAAAGAAACTACTGAGCTTATATTACCTCAGAGAATTTGACAGGTTAATTAATTTATCCTTTCTCTTTCCTAAATCTTCGGGTCATTCAATTCCTTTTGTGTTTCTAAGTAGCCCCACTGTTTCCAAAATAAAAATCATTAACAATCAAGGGAGCTAAGAGAAAAAACTGAGCCAAGTTCTAGTTCCAATGGCTATACATATGGTTAAGAAGCCATTTGTTTGAAACATTAAAACTTCAGAACAAGGATCTACAAATGAATCCAATAATTCCCTGGTCTGAAGGTAACACTGCAGTTCAAAGATGCAAATAATAAGCCAAACAGGACAAGAGTGAGGTTGATAGTAATGATGTAACTATGTTCCCAACTAAGACCTCCTAACATTACAGAGATGCCCAGTATTTCCCTACTGGAGGGAGGCAGTCATTTCAGGGATCTCCCTTTCCTAATCCACTCACTTTGGCTTCCTAATAAAGCCATGAGCTCCTGGCACTCTTCCTCAGATTTGGAGAGACTGTGACAAAATTCGCTTCATGTTTGAATAAGAATATGCTTGTTGATGACCAAAACCTGTTCTATTAAGAGGACGTGACAATGTGTTCTGGTTTAGTATCTATAGTGGCAAGGGCATCTTTGTTTATATTCTTGCTTTGAAGAATGGCAAATGGCAGAAAATATTTCTCCTAAAATGCCTAGTTAATTGTCAACTGGTTTTTCTTCAACAGCTGAAATATGCTAAAGCATTTGAAGGAAAACTTCAAAATATTTCTTTGCAGTTTTTACCTACAATTGTAAAAGCTATAAAGAGTAACATTTTTAAAGAATTAGTTAATGTTTCAAATATTCATACAAAACACAAACCAGTAAGAAGTATATATATTTGAAACCAAACAGGCATGAGTTCAGATCTCATTGCCATCACCATAGCTAAGTGATTTGGAGGGAGTGTATATACTTTGTGAGTCTTGGTTTCTTCATTTATAAATGAGATAATTGTTCATAGTCGCACTGTGAAAAATTACAGACACAATCACTGTAGAATGCCTAGCACACGAAAGTCTGAAGGAACAAAAACAATGAGATATAAGTAGGAGAGAATTGTTAAAACATTCAGTACTTAATTAATTCTTCAATATATCAAGCACATGTTGGCATATGCTAGACATCTAGGTAAAGAGCTTAGAACTGAAAGGCTGATGTTTTGCAAAGGACCTTAACATTTTTTATGGTCATAAACACACACACACTCAGACGCACATATGTATTAGAAATAGGGTAGTGTGTGCAAACACGAAAAACAGAAAAACTAAATATGTTTGCTTGGGGAGTTTGGAAATGCTTCATAAGACAATAAAAAATTGACCTAACTAAATGGGCAGAAGTGTGGTGGTTTGAATAGGAATGGCTCCCATAGGCTCGTATATTTAAATGCTTAGTCACCAGGACTTACAACTATCTGAAAGGATTTGAAGGATTAGGAGGCGGGGCTTTTTTAGAGAAGGTGTGGCCTTGTTGGAGGAAGTGTGTCACTGGGGATAGGCTTTGAGGTTTCAAAAATCCAGGCCAGTCTCCACCCCCTCCATCCTGCTGCCTGCTGATAAGGACATAGAAATCTTAGCTACTTCTCCAGCAATGCCTCAATGTTCCATACCATGATGATAATGGACTAAGCCTCTGAAACTGCAAACAAGCAACCAATTAAATGCTTTATCTTACAATAATTGCCTTGGCAAATGGATGGAATTAGAAAAAGAAATCATCCTGAGCAAGGTAACCTCAACTCAAAAAAGGATAAATATGGCATTATGCACTCATATGTAGACATTAACTCACAAGTAAATGATAACCAATCTATGATTTGTAGACACAGCGAGGTTTGCTATAAAGGAAAAGACTAGGGTTAATAGAATAGACTTTAGAAGTGGATTGGAGAATGGGAATGGGAGGAGAAGATGAGAGAGGGAGTGTAGATAGGGTTGAGGGAGGGAATGTGGAGAGGGTTGAGGGGTGGTATAGACATTTAGAGAAGTGCAATCATCCTGAAATATGTGAAAGCAATTATAATGACAGACCCAAATAATGGGGGACACAGAGTCCCACTGGCCATTTCTTGTAGCCAAGTGAGGCTTCTAGTACAGGGACTGGGTTATACTCGATTGAAATTTTTGGCCAAAGAGGTCCCATAGACATCCCCAAACAACCAAGGTTATTGCCTAGACTATAGGCTTTTCTCCACACACCGACAGCAAGGCTCCACTGCAGAAGACAACAGCTACACAAACTCATGGACCATGGAGAGCTTGAGCTGGTGCTGACATAGAACCTTCGCCCTTATGTTCTAGTGGCTTTGGTATAGGAAGGTACTTGGCAGGTTACCAAAAGGAAAATGTAAATACCAACCCAGCCACAAACCCTTTGATTTTCAGTGCCATCCTGCCTGCAAAATAGGCTAGGGCAACAGTGCCACAAAGCTTATGGGAGTAACCAATCAACATCAGATTTGACTTAAAATCTACTACTCTACATGATGGATCCCATACTAAACACTGGTTGGTTGACCGAGAAACAGAGACTAGATAGCCCAGGTACCTGACATAAAAACCAAATACTGCCCTTTAAAACACAAAGGAGTGATAAAATGACTCCTAATGATATTCTGTTAGACTCATAGATCAGTGCCTTGTTCAGGCATCATCAGAGAAGCTTCCTCCTGTAGCAGATGAGAACAAACACAGTCAGACACTATGCAGAGTGAGAGATCTTGGAACACACAGCTCTAAATGGGGTGTCTTCACTCAACCCCTACCTGCCGTGCTCAGGGAATCCCTCAGGAGAGGAGGTAGAAAACCATGTAAGCGCCAGAGCACATGGGAGACACTAGAAGAACAAGCAACCACAGGGCCTGTGGGGTTTCACTGGGTCTTCTGCATATATATTAAAAAAAGTTTCAGCTCAGTTTAGGATTTTTTATGAGTGTGCGAACAAGTGGATCTCTCATACTTCTGCCTTTTCTTGGGCTTTTTTGCTTTCTGTTGATTTGCCTTCTCCAACTTCCATGTGGTAAAAGTAGAGAAATTTCAAAGTCAAATAGCAGGAGGGTGACTGCTACTAGGAAAATTTTCATAGAGAAAGGCAATGGTTCTTGTTTTAACTTACTATATTTTGTATGTTGTATTTTGTTATTAGCTCTTAGAAGCATGTTCTTTTCTAATGAGAGACATAAAGTGCCTGGGATCTATATGGGAAGGGAGGTGGGGAGGAACTGGGAGGAGTAGAAGAAGGAAAAAGTGTAATCAGGACATATTGTAAATCTATTTTCAATAAAAGGGGGCAGAGAGAATTGCCATGGTCACGGTGTCTCTTCATGTCAATAAGAACCCTGAGTAAGGTCCTTAAGTAAGACCCTTGTCAGTAGAGAACATGAGGGGTATGGGAAGGAAATGACAAACACTAACAAGACCCAGCTTTTATGTAGGAAATTAGATCAACAGGATAATTTTTCAACAGCTCGAACTCCTATCAAAGAAAATTCCAGTTATCTGATGCACCACTTTTGATGTAAGAAAAAATGGATCAAAGTGCCTCTGTACAGTAACACGGGTTAGAACATGTACTTTGTTTGAAATGTCCTGCAACTGAGGGGGGAACGAGAAACCACAGAAAAAGCTGTTACTTTGGACCTAAGATTTCTAGCTCTTGCTTCCCCATAATTTCTGTGATGGGTCATCCTTTCCAACAGGAACATCCTGGAATTATTCTAAAAACTGCCTTTCATTAATATCAAAGCCGTGTTCAATTTTAGAAGCTGAAAAGAGGGTACATAACTTCTCTATAGAAAATATGACCCTCAAACCTTGAAAAGTGGTGAATGAACCACCCAAAGTGTTTGAATTGAAACAGAGCAATGTGACACCGCCAAAGTGCCAGAGAGAACTGGGCAGGAAAGAGGGAAAACATCTCAGGCAAAACTTCAGGTGAGAGTGGACCATGGCAAGGCAAAGAAGTCTGCTGCTAATGACGTCCTCATTGGTGCATGGAGAGATGGCTCAGCAGTTAGGAGTGCTTACTGCCTATAGAGACTCTGGGTTGGGTTCCTATTGTCTACATTACATGGTTTACCACCTCCCATAATTCCAGTTCCAAATATCTAACACCCTCTTCTGGCCTCCAAAGGCTTCTGCACATATGAGGTTCACATAAACTTAATGCAAGCACCCACACGTGATAATGAAGATATATATATACTTTAATTTATACACACACACACACACACACACACACACACACACACACACACACATATTTACTTTAAGTTTTAAAAGAAACATAAACTCCTCAAATGTCTATCACAGATCTTCAAGGAATAAACCAGTCTTGCTGTGTCTCTGAGAAAACTGCCCAGTGCAACAGCTACTTCTAACATAGGTCCTCTGCAGCAAGGTGGGGGTGGAACCCAGTCTCCATGGCTGGACAGGTGGAAATGAATCCTTGAGGTAGGATGACAAACTTGTAATGGCACAGAGACCATACTCATCCAGGAATGAGTTATTTGTATGATTTAACACCACTGGTATTCTTACAAATGGATTCATCAACCACATAGCTTACACAACGACACAATGTCACAGAAAGAAATCCTATTTACTATCAGTATTTTTCTCTTACCATAATCATCCAAGATTTCACTTAGGTCCCTTTGGGGGCGAAGTTCGAATTAGTGAAGAGTTCTTTAGTAGACTTTCATTTTATCAAAGGTAACTATTTATTTTAATCCACTCACCATTCCATGGTTCAGCCACCCTGGGATAAAGTTGTCAAGCAATTTTGGGTATATCATCTCTCTGTCGTAGGCATAGATGGTCCAGAACACCGCCACAACAAACTGGAAGGGAAAGGAAATCTTCTGTTTCAAGTTCATCTTTTACAGCACATAACTGGTTGGTTATTTGTTTTAAAAACCCAAGAGTTTTGGAATTTATGCTGTCAGAAGCAAATCAACGAATCACTAGAAAAATGGTTCCCACTTCACTCTGTAGTGTTCACCACAGGGTTGTCAAGTCCCCTCTCTGATCTTCAGCTATGTTCTTTCAGGCAGAGGAACCTGCCTGAAAGGGAGAGAGAAACGAAGTGTTGTTGGGAAGAACACCATCTCGGGGCTAACTGTGCCAGTCTGATCCCTCTCCACATGGGTTTATACATTCACTTAGGGATATTTGTAAAGAAGTTCCATTCCCCACTAGAAAGAGCATGCATCCCAAACAACGCTGACTATGCCCATCTTCCTTGATCCTGCCATGCGGTTTTGTGTTTGCTTCTCACCAATACCAGCACTGAACCCATTGCCAACCAGGTGCCCTCTGGTCACATTTAAGGGAAGTGCATTAGTGCATACAGCCTAAGCCAAGGCATAGCAGCACTGAGAAGCAGAGTGCAGAGTGGGTGAAGGGGAAAGGGAAGATTCTGAATTCCCTTGAAGTAACTAAACTTTGAAGTGTATCTGAATTACAGAAGCTTCTTTGGGCCCAATAGCAGCACAGTAATCCAGAGGAAGTAGTAGCAGTATTTATTTGACTTATTATTTCACCATTCTTCAAATGAACAGTAAGAATCAAGTTCAGATTAAAATAAAGCAATGAAAGGCCCATGGCCTTAGCCCCCTCCCCCACACACCTATAAAGAGTGATTTTTAAAATCCTACAGAATTAAAACAATGCAGAATGAATATAAATAATTTTGTTTCAGTTTTTATATTTTATAAATTATAGGTTATCTGTGCTCCTTTAATGCAAATAATAAGGATTTTAATTCTACTTTAAATAAGATTTTAGGTAATACTTGGTAACACAAGACTAGTAATCAAAAAGTTCCAAAATTCTTTCCCAACTCTGTTTGCTTTGAAATCTGGGTAATTTTTCCTTTGAGACCTAAGGTGATGCAAATATTTATTATTTTATAAAATGTAAAGATTAATTATTACATAAGGTGACTGTAAATCTCTGTATATTGTTTTAGAACCAGAGACGTCCCCTGTAGTTATTTACCTTGTTTTTAGATGAACATTTTTTTTACTATCTGCTTTCAAATGTATAACAGTAAAACAAAATAGAAAATTAATTCTTAGCTCAAGGAAAATTATGTTAACTTTTCAAGAACAATGAGTAATTTTTATGTTATCCATCATTTTGAATTATTCACCATCTTAGACTTCAAATGGACTGGCTATTCATAATAATCACACAAAGTAGATATTTTAAAATTTTTAAGTGACTTATTTATTTTCTATTTTATGTGTGCTGATATTTTGCCTGTAAGCATTTCTGTGTGAAGCTGTCAGATCTCCTGGAACTAAAGTTACAGGCAGTGGTAAGCTACCACTGGGGATTGAAGCCAGGTCCTCTGGAAGAGCAGCCAGTGCTCCTAACCACTGAGCTCTCTCTGCACTCACTGGTTTAAAATTTTATTACATTACCTGTCAACATTATCACCTTAAAGTAGGCAGGAATATAGGTTGTTTTGTTTATGCATGCTACAAATTGAGAAATCAAGATTTTCATTTTTGCTTTAATCATATTTACTGGTACATAAGATTCGACATATCGTACATGGAATGGACTCTCAAAATAAACATTAGTTCTGATCTCACCAACTCTGCTAATAATGTGAGAGAATCTGCAAAACAATTACTTTACCTCTTTATTATGAATAAAGAGTGCTAAGGAAAAACTGCAACTATTCAGATAGATAGACAGACAGACAGACAGATGATAGATAGATAGATGATAGATAGATAGATAGATAGATAGATAGATAGATAGATAGATAGATAGATAGATTCCTGTAACAACAGTAAAAAGTAGGTCATTTCTCCCCCAAATGATCTTCAAATTGGTAGTCTAGACAGTTTGGTAATGTAAGATCCAGACTGTAAGAACAAGGTGATCCTGGGAGCAGGGAGGAACAGTGGAAAAGGAATCCTATTTATAGTGGGTTGGGAGGGATGGGAGAAGGACTAAGTTTTTTTTAAATGGGTGGGGTGGGGATCTTGGGAGGTGGCTAGAAGTCTGAATACATGGAAGACAGAATAAATGAGAAATAAAGCTCAGCAGAGCATGATAAGAATGAGCATCTGCAAATGGACCCCCTTCTCTACAGTGAGAGGAAGCTGGCAACGGGAAAGGGGGCTGAGCCCAGAATGACAACGATCTGAGGCCCCTGCAGTGGCTGATGTGTGAGGAAGTTGGTCACTGAGAACATGTAAAAGGAAGACTCTGATGGTCACGAGGGCTCCCCTGAGACTTGATGACATGTTTTTCTAGTAGAACCAACCAGGATATTTCCCAGGGCTGTGAGGTCTGTGAGAAAGAATTCAGAGGGAGGATGCTGGGGGGTTCAAATTGCTGCAAGTTAGACAGCTGAGAAGATCTGAGACGAAGAAGCTGTGAGAACGGGGATATCCTTTCATGACCAACCAGCCTTTCAAAACTGCTATTTGGGGAGTGGTAGTTGCCAATAGGTTACGTGAGAGGCCTCATATAAAACCATTTTCAAAACCAGACTCTCAATGAAAGACAGAACTTTTCTATTCTCACTTCATTCTTTCTGTATATATTTGACAACTGAGTGGGAAAAAGTCCAAATATAGTTGGTTCAATGCCTCGGTGCCAGGGATGCAGTACCAGGTCCACAGCCATGCGACTCCTAAACCCAGGCACATGCTTTACAGCCTGGATATTCAGTGTGGTCCATGAATCAACAGCACCCACATTCAATCTGTCAGACATGAGGAGCCCAGGGTCTCACCCTGCAGTAATCTGATCCTACATTTTAATAAGATCTTGAGGCTGTTTCTGTTTTGAGAGCTATCTGCTGCCACTGCATGTTTCCTGCCTTCCCGTCGGAGTGTCGATATCTCAGGTCCTACGGCTTCTCATTGAGAACCTCCGTCATTCTCCCTCTAGACACACTCAGATGACTTCACTCGGGGAATCCCTGCCCTAATACATAAATATGTACCAGGGCTTCTTTCTCTAGTACAGTAATTCATAAGTCATTTGTATTAAATAAGGGTTTCTTAGTTACTTTCTCGCGGCTCTGATAAAATACCCCAACAAATGAAAGTATTTGTTTTGGGCCACACTAGGAGGTTACGGTTCATCCTAGTGGTCATACTGGTGAGGTCACAGCAGCAGCAGGAGCTTGAAGCAGATGTTCACGTTGTCTCCACACTCAAGAGCTCCTCCACCCCAAGGAGCAGGGAACATCACGGAAGCCGAGACATAGAGTATATAAGAGGATGGAGAGAAATGATATGAAATGCTGTCCTCTGCATATGACATATAAGTGTTTACACACACACACACACACACACACACACACACACACACACACACACACGAGTTTGGTTTGCTGCACAAGACCTGTATAATATCAAGTCAGTTAAAGTTCTCGATTGGGTCAGGGGAGGGGCCATGGAGGCACTAACTCCGGCTGAGTAGCCATTGGTAATTGATGTCAGCTGGGGAGAGACACTCACTTTCCCTCAGAGGATATGGCAACTAGTACATTGCCCATGCCCAGTGATTCACCCATGCAAATACAGCCACACAGCACTAACAGGACGAAGGAGGAGGATATGAAATTGGGAGAGATATCTGCTACATGGGCCTAGGGAAAGCTAGAAAGGAAGTAGGGGGCCAGATATGATCAAGATACCTTGAACCTATGTATAAAATATTCAAATAAACACAAAAGCAATGAGCCTGAATGTCTGTGTTCAGCCTACTTTCTCCTTTTTATACAGTCTAGGAGTCCAGTCTAGGGAATGGTGCCACCCACCACAGGTGGGTTTCCCCACCACAATTGGCCTAATCAAGATAATACCTCACAGGCAGGTCAAGGGGTTCACCTGCTAGATGATTATATATCCCATCAAGTTGACACCAAGATTATCCATCACGAGTGGTGAAACCATGCCTATTTCTGTGGGGTAAGGATTTTGGCTAGGTGTAAACACATAGGCATGGAGCCACATCAGATTAGTGTGAAGCCATTGGTGAAAACCCCTTCAACTCTGCTGAACAGCACAATCTAATCATGAGAATGGAATTCCTTCATATTAAAGACCCTTTTCCAACTCAACAGGAGAAATTATAGAGGTCAAACCAAGGGGCAGAATTTTGGGACCATATTAAAACTCTTTTTGCAAGTCCCTACATTGTCCATTGCTTCAGAATGGTCCTGATGTACTTCGATCCTCTGCACATCCATTTAAATGCTAGAATCTCAGATGTTAAATTTTTACAGGTATCTTGTCAGAATACCCAGTGTTACTGTTTGAGAACTGACCTCCTGGCTACACTGAGATTTCGTACACGTAGCACAGTCCATGTACTAAGGTTGTCTTTAATTTCTCTCAGAAGTATTTTAAGTTAATAATGTACAGATATTCACAATATTTCCTAAATCTTTATATATATTTTATGTTTTTGGAAACTACTGTACATTACTACATTTTTGTGTATTCTTTGTTGCTACTTTATAAAAACACAAGTTTTAAACAGTGGCCTTGCTTCATGTACCTTTACTAAATTTGATTACTAGTTTTCATAGCAGCTATTTTAAAAATTGTTTTGGATGTGTGTGTGTGTGTGTCCAAAGTAACAAAATTCTTTTACAAACTACATGTTTTTTGTTCTGTTATTTCAGTCCTCAGCACAAAGTTGAATAGAAGTAATTCACAGTGAAAGCCTTTATCATTTTCTCTGCTGCAGAGAAAACATTCAATTTCTCAACAGTGAAGTTTGACATTAGCTGCAGTTTTTCTTAGATGTCTTTTTACAAGTTGAGTAAAATCTCATAGAATTTTACTTGGGAGATAAACAC